GGAGAGCAGCAGGGAGGCGCCAGAGGAGGGGCAGTAGGGAGGCACCGGGGAGAGGGGCAGGGCACAAGACCAGTACGTTAAAGCAAAATCATTGTAATTGCAGCACAAGGGCCCTGCGAGGTCAGCTCCTCACCTGGTTCTCCTTCAGGACGGACACCTGCTTCTGCAGGGAGATGTTCTCCTCCTCCAGCTCCGAGCTGTCCTGCAGCTGGCGCAGCTCCCGGACCTTGTACTCCCGCAGCTCGTCGCGCAGCTGGGCCTTCTCCGCCTCCAGGCGCTCCCCCTCCTGGCGGGACCGGACACAGGGACACGGGCTGAGCCGCGAGGCCGGCACGGAGGCGGCCGCACAGCCCCCCGGCTTCAGAGAAACTCTGCAGGACCCGGCTGGGATAAAGGGCGCCCAGGGACTAAGACACCTGGGTATGGTCTGATGGGGAGGAGAAGGAGGGGCAGATGCTCGGCTTCTTGCACGAGCGCGTGGGGGGGCCTTACAGCTACCCCTCACCTCAGCTGCATGCGGAGGGACAAGGTGATGAGACTGCAGCTATTAGGGCTTGAGCAGAGACACTACTTTTTTCATGGCTGGAGGCAAACAGCGTTAATACAGCGCCCATGTTTCGGCCTGCCCCCCCCCCCAGGCCCTAAGACACAGCAGCCACACAGAGTCCACTTCAGGTGCACGCAGATTACACAAGTCAACAAAACGATGTAAAGGCTAGAGAGCGAGGAGCGCGTTTTTCCGACCGGATCCATAGTTGCTGACAGACTAGCAGCTTCCGATACGGGCTGGGAGATCACTCCACAGCCGGGGAGCGACAGAGCAGAAAGCAGCATGAAGGCACGCTCGCCGACGCAGGGATGCCGCCGACTGATGCGCAGTCTGAATATCCCCCTGGCTGACGGCCCCCACGCAGTCACCAGGCCTGGCTCATTCTCAAGCCCTGCTGCCCACACCCAAACCTCACAGACCCTCCGTACTTCCTGTGCATCGTGACACGCTTCCTGTAAATCAGCAGCTCACACCTGCAGAGGGCTTAGATAGAGAAAATGTCACCTTTTTTCTGCCTACTTCTCAGCGTGCGATTAACCCTTCCTTGATCCTCTGCATCCTGGGCGCACCGACGCTGCTCCCTTTTAACGCTGGAATTTGATCAAACTTGACCGCACTGCCTCACTGTTTTTTTTTTTATCTTCCACTTCTGCTAACCTGTAATCTGTAATCTGCCACGACGAAAGAGACTCCCTGCCAAACACAAACTCTGAGGACTGACAGGTTTTGCTACGGTACCCATCTATGCCAAAACCTCCCGTCTTTCCACGATACCTGGCTCTGACACCTGGAGCACAAGGCTCAGAGGGGGACCAGGCACAAAAGAACAGCTCCTTTCAATGTGCTGCTGGCTCACATATTGTGCATGCCAGCCCCAGTCCTAAATCCAACCCAGCTTCCCAAAGGAGACTGTAAGTCTTTATATAACACACAGCTGGATCAAGGCCGCACAACACAGCTGATGACTACATAAACCCACATTCTAATAACTGTTACAAGATCGCAGCGGGATTACAATAATCTGGGCAAATATTTCTACGCTGGGCTTTCTGAGCCTTGGCGTTGGCCCAGGGTTGCTTCAGCAACGTGGTTCTTCTGAGCGCTGGCCAACAACAGCCTGGAAACACCTGTGTCTTAAAGATGACGCAGGAAGACCCCTGTCTTATCCACCTGTTGCTCTAATTTCATCAGCACGATCAGCACAAGGTACGATCCGTCTGCAACATGCCAGCAGAAACTGCTGAACGCTCAAAGGATCGAAATGAGCTGGGTTCTAAGGCAGCAGGCACAGGGCCAGCAGTCCATCACAGGATGCACGTAGGCGGTCGCTCTCAGACGCATACAGAGAGCAGTTCAGAGACACCTGTGAGCCTGGAATCTCTACAGAGGATACCCCAATCCGATACTGAACCCAGGCCTCAGGAGCCCACTGCCCTGCCACTGAGCCACCCAAAATACAGGAATTTGTAGCAGAAGAAAAAGGAATCTGGTGCCTTTTCCTTTCCGATTCAGCCTCTCTGGTGTTGGCATTCGCAATGACCACATGCAAAGCTCTTTTAAGAGCTCAGAGAAACACAAGTAAATGTCTGAATAAAGCCTACGTTTGAACCCATACTAACATAAGCAGCCTTGCACAATCTGGAATGGTACAGTTTCCCACAGCTCTCAATTCTATACATAACTTTCTGTGGTACAGAGCATCTGCTTCAGGCCCTGCATGATGAGTAGGGCTAGTCAACCAGAGATCAGCAAGTCCGTTTTCTGCTTGGTGTGGTGTCACATAACCTCTCAGTCTCAAGACTTCCTACCTCAATAAAGCACAGCTCTTTATTTTAGATAACTTATGACTGATTTCCTGTGTGGTTACTATCAGGCCCCAAAACAGGGCCGAAACAGAGAGCTGGCCACCTGCAGGTTGCTGCACCCGCAGACAAAGGCTGTAAAAAGGTAGATGCTTTCCACGCATAACGAGCCAGAGAGACTTCCCTGGCTGGACGACCCCAGAGGAGCCTGTGTGGGTCGCGACGCGCTGGCGTGCCGTCCGCTGACAGGGTTAAAGTCGCGCGCGAAGCCCTGAGCCGCCAGGGCTTCTGCTTCTGCGTCGGGGTTAGATCACGCTGCCGTGTGGCTTCCTGAGGAAGCAGCCGAGCTCGACTCTCGGCAGCGCGGGCCAGCTCCGCCTCAGCGCTGGCACACCCTACTCAGCTGACCTGCACTAGGGGGGAGCCACACACTCTTCTGGGGCTCCTGATGCAGGGGTGCACAGCTCCTTCCTCCTGCACCCTTAGCTACCTGACTGACCTCACCGTGTGCTCATCTGGACACGCGGAGGCCTGAAGCTGGAGGTTTCACGAGGCCTTTAAACCCTGCCGGACAGCGGCCCTTCTGGGGTGGAGGACACCTAGACAATGCCCCCAGGGCTCACGAGGACACCCCAGGACTGTAAGGCCCGCAGCCTCCAGTACCAGGAGCGTCCCCACGGCGACCCCGGCCTCACCTTCTTGAGCTGGGCAGAGAGGGCGGCCAGCCGGTCCCCCTCGGCCTGGGCGTTGGCGAGGGTCACCCTGGCCTGGCGCAGCTCGGCCTGCAGCTCCTCGATCCTCTCGGCCAGCGCCGCCTCCCTGCTGGCCGTCTCCCGCAGCAGCGTCTCCTCCCGGCTCTCCCCGTCCGCCGCCGCCCGCTTGTGGCTGCTCACCGAATCGGCCAGCGCCTGCGGAGACACGGCACAGCGCGGTCAGGGCGGTGACCCCGGCTGGAACCCCTCTGGCCCGCGCGTGAGCCGGCCAGTCGGCGCCGTCTGTGTCCGGTCCCCGAGCACCGGCACGAGGGAGAGCGGACTCGAGGCCCTGCAGCCCAGCGACCCGACAGCGAACGCCCTTCCCTGCAGGCCTCTCCGATCCTTGTAAAACACACAGAGATCCGCGGGACACTTCACAGACTGCACGTACACTCCCAGAGCATTCTACTCAACCCAAAGGGAACATGAATAACATCCAGCTTCACTCTGTATTTTTAACCTTTATTTACCTTCTACAACAGTCTTACATGAACCATTTCATCCCTAGTGAACACAGATGCCATACTAATACAAGCCCGGACAGGAACACCTCTAAATTTAGACCAGGAGCAGACTAGACCAGACCAGTGATTGGGATTCATACTGGCTATTTCAGCCACAGGGTCTAACAGCTCTCAGGAGCTAAAAAACTGTTCAGGAATGTTGAAATCCATCCCACAAAACATGACAAGCAACCAGTGGTGCGAAAGCAACGGTCTTGCTTCAGGAGGAACCAAGCACTCTGGGATTGAAACCCAGTGACCTAGATTAAGTGGATCTAACGAATCACTGAAGCCACGGCTGAACAGTGATGTCATCTCATTCCAGTAACCAAGGCAACGAAACACCCAGGCAACCAAGAGGACCACTCGGCCACATTGTCGCCACGGAGTTAGAATGCAATCATGTCACATTCCAGAACAACTGGGAGGGTCACTATGTTACAAATATTTGAAGTCAAATATTTTCTATTGAAGACAAAAACAACCGTTTACAAAAATGATGTCTCATTCTGTAAGCTATATATGTCAGGCCTTTCAGGAAGCAGTGAATCATCAATCATGTGTTCATAACTTCTGACTTCTGTGACCAGACACCTGTCACTGGAATCGGGCGTTTAACTTGCACGCAGATTTTAGCGTCTTGACAGAGTTAAAAGAAGTCTTGCTCTTCACATACTCTCCATTAACAGTAACATTCAGGAACACACACACATTGCAATGGTTTGTAACCTCATGAGATCAGTCCCATACAGAAGCACCTCTCAAAGCATGTCTATGATCTGTAAACTATAAAACTGAGTCCTTCCAGCTCTAGGTGAACACAACCCTACTGAACCACACCACCAAGGACGTAGCTCACAGCTTCCGATCAGTGAGTCCATCACAATTTTCACTGAATCCACTTCTAGGTCTTGCGAAATTCCACCATTAACCACCCACATGAACGTTCAATGTGCTCATGTTAATGTCCGTCTATTAAATTTTTTTTTTTCTCACCCCTGGCGCCTCTCCGAAATGTTGCTGTGGTTTTAAAAGACAGGCGCCCATCTAATTTTTTTAGGGTATCCTGGTGCACAAACTCTTCAAACACACTGCTGCCTTTAGGTCACACAAAGTCCAGTCTGTTGGTCTGCTTTTAACAGCTCAGAGCCCAGTAAATACCCAGGTAACCGAGACGATCAACGATGACATCATAAAACAGTACAGTGACATCAGTTTAAGTTGACTAAAGGTATCGCCTATCCCAGAAGCACACAGCGAAGTTACCGTTAAAATGAGCTGTGAACGTTTACAAAGTCTAGGAGGGAAATGAATGCGTTTTGGAAACCGGTTTGCAGCTGAGCTGAAACAGTAATCTAGTTGACATTTAAAAAAAACACACCCCTGGAACTAATCACATTTTCAGCCCATGAACTTTTAAAGTCGAGGCTGTTTCCACTTGTGTCCTGTGGCTCATGCGAGAATCTGAACGACTCCAGTGAACGGACTGTCTGGGGCCCTAGAGGATTTTGAATATCCGTGTCAGGTGCCTGTTCAGGACTAAAGGGGCTCAGATCCTTCAGCCACTCAGCGCAAGACACTGCTTTACGTCCCAGAACGCAGCTGGTTGCTCTGCTCTGGACCAGTTCGGAGAACTCTACCTCCATGGTTACCGAGGGCCCTACTCTTCAGGTACAACAGGGGATAATTTCCTTCGAATTGTGAACTGTGCCTCAGAGACAGTGTGAGAAACTGTGAGCCACAGAGAGGGCTCTAGAAGCTTGAGGCTTGAGGAAGACTCCTCATGCCTGACCCCACACCACAAGCACAACAGCCACAGACAAGGAGGAAGGGCTGTACAGGGAAGAGGACTTGCGAGTACACTGCACAGTTGTTTTACACACACACACACACGCTTGTGGGAGTCTGAAACAAGCTACTCTGCCATATTATTAAAGCCAATATCCTGGCTGCTTTAAAAAGAAAAATTGGATGAGATCCCGGATCAATGAACTACTAAACTTCCCAACAGGCTGGATGAGCGAATGGGCTCCTTGCTCCTGTCCGGTACACGAGGAGAGACGGAGATAATTCTTCACTCTCAGCTGCAGGTGGATACGAGTTCCCTCACAAGCTCTGGCTCAGTGAAGCGAGGCTCGAGACGACCTTTCCTGCTGCTCTATTTCCTGCCAGATCGAGTTACTGGAAACGGGCGTCGGAGGAGCAGCACAGTGAGCTGGCGGCCGCACTCGGCCCGTTTTAGACCGAGTAATTTTAGCAGCGATCCAGCATCTCCTGAACGGCATTCCGAATGACCGGACACCGCACCAGACCAACGAGAACAGCGACTGAGCTCATGGACAGAGGTGGGGGAGGAGGGGGGTGTTCGCGCAAGTAACAAATATCAGGCACAGGGAAAACCTCGGCATCACGGTTCTGTGCCACTGGCTGGGAACGAAAATCCGGAAGGCCCCGCTCTTTCGTCCGGAACGAGCCCCCCCCCGGCTCCCAGTCCGCCCTTTCCTGTCCCGGGACTCGCCGGAGCTTCGGAACATGAGGATCCCCAGGGCCGGTGAGAAGGAAGACCCGGCCAGCTGGGAGAGGTGTCGGGCGGCCTGCCGGACGGGTGAATACCCCACCGCCGCGGGGAGCGAGAGGGCCCCGCGCTCGGCGAGCTCTCCCCCCCCGCAGCTGGCCAGCTCCTGACGGCTCTCCGCACGGCTGACCGCTACCCTGTCCCCGGCAGAGACTGCCGCCCCAACCCAGACCCCCAGGCACCGCTGCTGACGGACAGCAGCTCTGGCTCTGGGCAGCCAGCTGATCAGCTGTCACCCAAAGCGACACCAATGCGGAGAGCCCGAGGGTTTCAAGAGAGTGTGTCCGACGGCACCCAGAAGCGCTCGTGAGTGTTGAGGCGTTAACGGTGTCAGATCTTGGGCCGCGACGCTCGGGCTCCGAATTCATTACCACTAACGACCTCCGGCAAAGTTTTTTTTTCCCCCAATGCTCAACGTAAAGCTTTTAAAACCCTTGAAATCCGTCCAATCAAATACATTATTATTAAAAGCTTATTTGATCTTGGCAAATCTAGATAGATACACAATCATCTTAGCGGGGCTCTATCCTGCCATCTGAGCCCTGGCCCAGACACCATCACGGGACCGAGACGGGGGCAGTGTGCTGTGAACACTCTCCTTTGTTTACAGTGGAGGAGTGGAGATGGAAGGAATTTCCAATGTTCCACAACAAAATCATATTAAAAGCTCCCTTTTTTGCCTCGGGCTCTCAGCCAACCACAGCCCAAACTCACAAAAACCTTAAATCTCATCAAAAAGTAGAGTAACACAGCATACTCTGAAAGTGAGTCGAGTGGAGACATGAGGCACTTCTTTAAAGGGTGTGAGTGCAGAAAAGTCAACCCATTCAGAGGAAACTTCAATAAACACATTACAAATAAAACTGCCTGATCAGACAGGGCTCTTTGCTCCCTGTGGCAGTCTACCAAGACACGCCCAGCTGGGAGTTAACTGATGCTCTTAAAATAGGGTAACTTATCTTAACCCCACTTTGATGAGAGGGGGTCAGTCTGCAGGGTCAGGTCGGAAGGCGAGGGGGGGGGTCAGTCTGCAGGGTCAGGCCGGACGGCGAGGAGAGGTCAGTCTGCAGGGTCAGGCCGGACGGCGAGGGGAGAGGTATGGTTGGATGGTCAGTCTGAAACAAGCTACTATTATTGAAGCCAATATCCTGGATTCTCCTGGGAAGCCAGATCGACCTCCACCCTCGGGGGGAACAACCCCCGCTGTCGAAACCGAATGGTCATTCCAGGAGCTGTGCGTTGGCTGTCCCGCGTCCGGAGCTCGGGGCTTACCTCCTTGAGCTGCTGCAGCTCCTGCCGCAGGGCCTCGTGCTCGCCCTCCAGCTCGGCGTACCTCTGCTTGAGGGCCGCGCTCTCCTCCAGCACGGCCAGGCCGTACCGGGCCGCCTGCAGCTTCTCCTCATTGGCCTCCTGGAGCTCGCGGGCCAGGCGCTGCAGCTCGGCCTCGGCCTCCCCCTCCTGCAGCATGGCCCCGGCACTCAGCGCTCCGCTCGCGCAGGGCTCATGCGCCGCCTGCGGCTCGCTGCCCTGCAAACAGACAAGGGGACCGGGGGCTCACACAGGCGGCACAGCCAGCCTCCTGGGGGCTCCACGGAGCCGCCCCCCCTACAATCAGAGCCCCAGTGGGCGGCTTGCGGGGGATACAGTGTAGGAGACCCGCTCTGGAAAGAGCACCTTTATACGGCGCGCTCCGAACGCAGCGCGGGTGATGCGCTGACAAGGCGCAACACCCTCACGCTGTGCGAGGGGGCCCTGGGACGTGCATTCTGGGAGATCCGCTCACAGGGGTGGCCAGAGCGAGGCCAGCCCACCTGTGCAATGGGCACCTTGCCCCCCCCCACCTGGACAGGCCCCGGCTCCGCCTTCTCTGGGGTCACCGTCAGGTCAGTCTGCAGAAGCCCCGTCTTCTGGAAGCACAACCGAGAACTGAGAACAAGAGGCCCCTCTTTACCCAAAGGGTGGTGGGAGTGTGGAACTAGAATCCCAGCCGTGCTGTTGACTCCCAAGACCTTGGCTTCTCACAAGAAACAACTGGATGAGATCCTTAGACCAATGTTCCTCACTACCGAATGGCCACCACAAGCTGAACAGCCACCTGTCATCGGTTCCCGTTCTTATTTTCACCCTGATATACCAGGATTTATCAAGGCCTCCTGCCTGGGGGCGACGAGGGTCACAAATCTAAACAGGGCAGGTACTGCAGCCCCCAGTCACTGTTCGATCCACTAGTGGGACAGACGGGAAGCTGCTTTGGAGTTGTAAAAGCCTGCAGGGGGTGGATCAAGGAAAAACACTTTATCCTTTAAGCTTATTTTCCTTAACAGATCAGTTTGTGCAGAGACTCCCACCCCCGTCAGAGCCCAAGACACTATAATCC